GAAAAACTGTAACTAGAAACATGCCATTTCACTATTTATTATCTCTGTCCTAAAGATGTAAGTGCAGTTTAAATTATTTCCCTACCCTTCTCCTTTGATTCCCTAGATAAAGCTCCTATGAAAACACACGTTTTACTTTTCAAGACAATATTGAGTCCTTTGAAGAAACTCTTGCAATCCGACCCACAACCTGTCATTAGAGCTCTACTGAAAGCAATACAGAATTTAGTCATCTTTACCAAAGTGTGTGCATTCACATACTTTGAAAAAAAAGTAACAAACTTGGGCTAGAAGCAGGCACTTTATGTAAGTAGGCTACAAAGAAATCTAGGTTGCTAATATAAATATTATAATCTATGGCTAACGTAAACAACCTAATTAAATGATACTTGAGTATTTTAGAAATGATAAGCTATATGCTATAGTAGTGAATAAATTATGGAAGTATACAAAGTCTCATTATAGTGCTTTTACTGTTTGAGACCACATTACTAGAGAATATGCTATAAACAAGGTATATCCAAAGGTTAGAACCATCAAAGAGAAAAGCCTTTTAAGGACTCTTATGTTATAGTGTGGCAAAACACATACACAAATATTATAACACTACTGTACTTTGTTACTGGGCTGGTAGCCTTAACTGACAACCTGGCAGGATTGAGAAAAGCCTAAAACCTAGGAGATTAGTAAAGCACAGCTCCGGGATTGTGAGAGTTCTGACTGATGAATGGACTCCATCCCTTGATGTATTTATAACTGATGGCATTATAGAGAGGTAGTGAAAAGTATGAGTGAGGGCCTTGTAAGAGAAAGTGGGCCACTGGGGGCATGACCTTGGGGGCTCTATCTTTCTCTGGCCTCTTTCTACATGACCTTTGTTTCCTGGGTGCAATTTTTTAAATTGCTCTGCTCTGCCGTGCCCTCCCACCATTATGGGAGCCAAGTAAATCTTTCCTACCTTATGCTGTTTTTGCTAGATATTTTGGTCACAGTGATATAAGAGTGACTAACAAAATCAAAATAAAGTTCTTTTATCACAATTTATAAAGTAATGAGACTGATTCATAGTTACTGACTACCTACCACTCCAAACACTGTGCTATGTACTTTTCCTATGTTACCTAATTTGATCCTTAGAAGTCCAGAAAATAGAGAGCTATTTTCTGACTGCAGTCAGTACTGACTGCAATCTTCTGATAGATGCTAAACCAGAACTGCCCCGATGGGCCATGCCCAAATTCCTAACACCTAAGAACTAACAGAGCAAAAGATTTGATGAAGTTAAAAATAAAAAGAGAGGAGAATTCCAAGATGGTGGCTAGAGGGAGGAAGCAGAAAGCATCCTCCTATAGTGAAATCTTGGAGAGACGCTGGAGACACACCTTATAGGAAAAACCACCGAGAAGAGGCAAAACTTTGACTCCTCCACACCTCCAGCCTGCACAGAGCATCTCCACTTTATGTTAAAGGGAGAAACCAGGAGGGCTCCCGCACCACCACCAGATGCCAGCACCCAGATGGCTTGGGAAGACACAGACCACAAGGTGAGCTAAGCGGTACTCCCACAGACAACCCTGGGCTAGATCAGCATAGCCCCCTGGACAGACCAACCCCCACCTAGGGAAAAAAAGAGAAACTGAGTAATAAGTAATAATAATAAAAAAAGACACATAGCAAAGAGGATGGGGTGCCCTGAGCGCCAAAGGGGGGAGAGGGGAATCCCTCATGGAACGGTAAATAAACAAGCCGGGCGGGAGAAGGCAGAAGCAGCAGCACACGCCCAGCAACAAGGAGCAGGAAAGCTTGTAAAAGTGGCGGACGGAGAAAAACTCCACAGGACAGGGGGTAAGATCCACATCCCATGTGAGCTGTAAATAAACAAGCCGGGCCGGAGAAGGCAGGAGCAGCAGCACACGCCCAGCAACCAGGAGTGGGAAAGTTTGTAAAAGCAGTGGTGGGAGGAAAACTCTACGGGAGAGGGGAGAAGCCCCACTTCCCATGAACTATAAATAAACATGCCGGCCTGAGAAAGTGGGTGCAGTGTCACCTCCCCCAGTGTGCTTGGAAAGGGGAAAGCTTGTAGCAGCTCACACACACAACTCTCTGAGTAAACAAAGCCTGCAGGGCCAGGTGAGTGTTAAGCTCACCCCAGAGATCTGCATAAATAAAGCCTTCAGCAATAGCAGGCTGACAGCAGCAGGCAGGCGAGCCACCACCTCAGATAGCCATTCACAGAACTGTCTCCAGACTCCTTGCTGAAGCTGTATTGCATTTGAACTTGGGACACTTTGTGGGTTTTTTTTTTTTGTTTTGTGCGGTTTTGTTTTATTTTGGTTTTTCCAGTTTTTTTCCCCTTTGATGAGACAACCACAGAACTACTTCTGAGGCACCATCTCCAGGATTGGAGGCTGAGGGACGAACATCAAAATTATTAAGACTGAAACTTATTGCATTTGAACTTGGATATTTTTTTTTCATTTTTATTTTTATTTCTTTTTATTTTTAATTTTCAATCCTCTCTCTGTCTCTCTAATGCCTGTTCAGCTTATGGTTGATTAATAATACACTATCTCTCCCTGTTTATATCTTTGAAACTTTGTTTTGTTTTTTTCTGCTTATTTGTTTTTCCCTTTTCCTTTAACTTCTCTGCTTTCCATTTCTTCTCATCCTTCTATTCTAAGTATCACTAGTGCTATTATTACAGCCAGAAAATACTTAATTGCACACAGTACAGGGACAATAACAACACCAAGGGCAATGACGGGAAGACAGAAAAAACAGGGAAACCAGTTTCCCCACAGCAAAAAATTAGTACAGGAACCAGAGGGAAATGAAGAAAACAGATACTCAACTGTTGAAGATAAACTCCAACAAAATGAAGATAAACTATGCCAAAGAACCCAATGAAGCCTACAAGAATAATTTAAAAGAAGACACACTACAGGTACTCAATGAGAATTTTATAGAGATGATACTGGATAGGGTCAACCAAAATGTACAGGAGACACTCAAGAAATTCCAAGACAACAAAAATAGAGAATTTGAAAAAGCAAAAGAAGAAGTAAAGGAAACCATAGAAGGCCTGTATAAACACCAAAGTGAAACAAAGAACACGATTAAAAAGATAAATGAACTCAGGACAAAAATAGACAACATTAAAGAGAAAACGACCCAGGATATGGAAAACCTCAGAAAAAAGAATGAAACAGAACTGCAAAACAAAATGGAAGGCCAACCCAGCAGAATAGAACAAACAGAAGACAGAATCTCAGAACTCGAAGATGAAATGGTAATTAAAGGAAAAAACCAAAGAACAATTAGTTAAACAACTTAAGACCTGTGAAAAGAAAATGCAAGAACTCACTGACTCCATCAAAAGACCAAACCTGAGAATCATGGGCACTGAAGAAGGAGAAGAGGTGCAAGCAAAGGGAATGCGTAATATATTCAACAAAATAATAACAGAAAATTTCCCAAATGTAGAGAAAGCTATTCCCATACAGATGCAAGAGGCCTCCAGAACACCAAACAGACCAGATCAAAACAGAACTACCCCACGGCATATCATCATTAAAACAAGTTCAGAAACTAGGGAAAGAATATTGAAGGCTGTAAGAGAGAAAAAACAAACAACATACAAAGGTAAACCCATCAAAATCACAGCAGACTTCCCAACAGAAACATTAAAAGCAAGAAGAGCTTGGGTAGAGGTCTTCCAGGCACTGAATGAAATAAGTTCAACCCCAGGATACTCTACCCAGCAAAACTATCATTCAAAATAGATGGAGCAATAAAAGTCTTCCATGATAAGCAGAAACTAAAACAATATATAACCACAAAGCCACCACTACAAAAGATTCTTCAGGGGATTCTGCACACAGAAAGTGAAACCCAACATAACGCAGAAAAAGCTTTCGATAAGATCCAACACCATTTCATGATAAAAGCTCTAAGAAAACTAGCAATAGAAGGAAAGTACCTCAACATTATAAAAGCTATATATGACAAACCTACAGCCAGCATTATACTTAATGGAGAAAAACTGAAACCATTCCTTCTAAAATCAGGAACTAGACAAGGATGCCCACTATCTCCACTCCTATTCAACATAGTACTGGAATTCCTAGTCAGAGCAATTAGGCAAGAAGAAGGAATAAAAGGAATACAAATAGGTAAATAAATAAATAAATAAATAAATAAATAAATAAATAGAAACTCCAGAAAATATATCATTTGTACAGACCAGGAAATTAAAATTCAATGAAATTAGGTGGTTTAAATAAGATCACATAGATCTTATTAAATAAGATCTTTTCTGCCATGTTACCATTACTCACAAAATTTACAGTAAAAACTCTTTTTAGCCTCCCCCCAATTTCCTCAGAAAATCAAGTCAGTAGTCAATGTGTCGACTATGTGTCTAAAACTGCTGGATTCTATTCATCCATCTATCCATTCATCCAATCACCTACCCACTCACCAAACAGACATTAGATGTCTGCTGTGTCCCAGGCATGATGCTAAGGATATACTGCTGACTGAAAAAGTATTCTTGCATAGATAAATGGTCATGCATCACATACAAATAAAACTGCATTAAAAGTAATGACAGATTAAGAGTTTGTAGCTCTAGGTCTGAAACTTAACATTATACACACCAATGTAGCATCTAATAGAGGTCTCTGACAGTAGACCTGGTGTTGGTATACTGAGTTCTAGGTTACTTCCTCTCAGTTATTTAACCAAAATAAAACCAACCTATGCTTGTATTTGCTAAACTAAGGATACCTTTTGATACACTGAGGAACTACATTTGTAAAACAATGTTATCTTTGGGATTCCAATGTTGGGTTTGGTAGGAGGTGACTTTGGGAAACTTTATCATTATAAGAGATGAAAAGAGTAGTGGATATAATTTAATATGTCAAAAGCTAAACAAAATTAAACTTGGGAAACCCAGTGTCTGAGATGATGCACCCCAACTATTTAGTATCTCTTACCGTGTGGTGAGGGCCATCTTCATTGTCCCTCATGTAGAAAGGCTTGAGTGCCAATGGATAGTTAATGACAAAGACTGGTATGTTGCCGCAGTGCTTCACCAGGTACTTCTCATGCTCAGTTTGTAGATCAACACCCCACTGTAATAAGAAAAAGGAATGGCAAAAAAAAAGAAGACAGCTGAAACACATAACTTAAAAAACCTGTGTCAGTTCCTAGGTCTTCTTCTCTGAGGGTCAGAGATGAGTGGAGCTGTCCAATGACTACAATAAAGGGTCGTTGAACCACCAAAGTCCTGGAAAAATGAATGCTGACACAGTAAACACCATCCTTTCTGTTCCCTGGCCCTGAATGCTGCTGAATGAGCAGCATTCAGAAAGTGAATAAGACTGCAGGCAACCAGAGTACACTTACCAAAGGGATAAAACTGTTCAGAATTGTGGTTTTTATTAATATTGCCCAAAGCTTCTTGCAAGTCACTGTTCCTAAGTCTCAGGAAACTAAATGACAGAAGTAGTATTTCTAATGTTGAGTTCATCTCTGGCTACATGGCTAGCTCCTCTTTTTTAAATAAAACAGTCAACAAAATAGGTTATTATCTATTAGCACTGTTCAATGTGACTAAGAAATTCCAGGTACCATGCCAGGGGCTGAATTTGGTAGTACAAAGAAAAGAGTTATGCTTCCTGACTTCATGAGGCTTCCAGAGTAGGATAGAAACATTAAACTGAAAATTACACAAAGAATTGACTTTATAAATACAACAAATACAAATTACTGTCAAAACACTTATAAGAGTGTTTGATAACTAGGGGTGGACTTGGTGTAAGGACAGTTTAAACACAAAGGTACTACATTCTTTTTTTCTTTCTCCTTCGGTGGTACTAGGGTTTGAACTCAGAGCTTTTGTTCTACCACTTGAGCCATACCTCCAGCCCTTTTGCTTTAGGTTATTTTACAAACAGGGTCTAATTGTTTTTGGCTAGGCTAGTCTCAGACTGGGATTCCCCTACTTATGCTTTCCACAGGGATTACAGAAGTATGCCACCATGTCTGGATTTATTTATTGAGATGGGGGTCTAACTTTTTGTCCAGGCTGGCCTTGAACCTCCCAATCTCTGCCTCTGCCTTCAAACTATACTAAGAGCCACCATAATAAAAACAGCATAGTATTGGCACAAAAATAGACACAAAGATCAATGGAACAGAAAGGAAGACCAATACATAAACCCACGCAGCAACACTCATTTGATTTTTAACAAAGATGCCTAAAACATGAATTGAAGAAAAACAGCCTCTTTAACAAATGGTGCTGGGAAAACAAGATTTCTACCTGCAGGAGACTGAAACTAGATTCCAATCGCCCACCTTGTACTAGCATCAATTCAAAGTGGATTAAAGATCTTAAGGTAAGATCTGAAACTGAAATAACTACAGGAAAGATTAGGGAATATATGGGAATATATAGGCAAAGGTAATAACTTTATGAATAGAACTCCAATAGTTCAGTCGTTATGAGAAAGGATTGACAAATGGGGCTGCATCAAACTAAATAGCTTCTGCATAGCAATGGAAAAAAATCACTAGACTGAAGAAACAGCCTTCAGAATGGGAGAAAATCTTTGCCAGCTATACATCTGACAAGGGATTAATAATCTGAATATATAGGGAGCTCAAAACACTAACCTTGCAAAGAATTGACAACCCACTGAACAAATGGGCAAATTAATTCAACAGACATTCTCAAAAGAAGTATAAATGGTAAATAAAGAAACGCTCAATATCCTTGGACATAAAGGAAACACAAATAAAAAAGACACTGAGGTATCACCTTAACCCCGTCAGAATGGCTATTATTAGTAACACAAAAAACAAATGCTGGCAAGGATGTAGTAAAAAAGGAATACTTACATATTCTTGGTGGCAATGCAAATTTCTGCAAACACTGTGGAAAGCAGTATGGAGGGTCCTCAAAAAACTAAAAACAGACCTACCATATGATCCAGCAATACCACTCCTGGGCATATACCCAAAGGAATGTAAGCCAGCATACAATAAAGCCACTTGCACATGCATGTTTATGGCTGTTCACAACAGCCAAGCTTTACATATAGCCCAGATGCTCCCACAACTGATGAATGCTTTAAGAAAATGTGGTACACACACACACACACACACACACACACACACACACACACACACACACACACACACACACACACACACACACACACACACACACACACACACAGGAGTATTATTTGGCCACAAAGAAGAATGAAGTTATGTTGCTTGCAGATAAAGGATGGAACAGGAAAAAATCATGTTAAACAAAGCCAGGCTCAGAAGAACAAAGGTTGCATGTTTTCCCTCATAGGTGGGAAAAACCTATGTAAGATAAATGTACACAGAAATACATATATGATCTTATACACACATACAAAAACACATTCATACATATGTGAGGGGGGCGGAGAAGATGACTGCATTAGCCTAAGGGGACTATGGGAAGGTTGGAGAGAGAAAGAGAATGAAAGAATAAATGAAAAATATTCAAATACTGCATCTATGTGTGAAGATAACAGAACACAATGCACTCACTGCAAGCTGGTGAACAATAGGGGAGCAGTGCAATAGAGAAGGAGTAAATAATAGAGGGGGTTAATCTGATTAAAGCAGGATATGTACATGTCTAAAATACCAAGACGAAGCTCCATTGAGCAATCAATATACACTCAAAAAACTGAAGGACAGGAAGTTAAAACAGGTTTTCCTGGGGGTGGGTGTAAGAGGGAGGGGAGAGGGTAAAGGACGCTGAATATGGTCGATGTACTTTGGTATGAAAATAGAACAATGAAACCTGTTGAAATTGTTCTAAGAAGGGGTAAAAGGGAGATAAGGGAGAATGATGTAGGAGTGAATCTAATTAAGGTATATTGTAAGCACATATGTAAATGTCATGATGTACCCTCACCTGTACAACTATTATATGCTAACAAAAAAGCTATTTTGAGTGGCTTAGAAACTAAAGGCTCTATAAGGCTCAAATGAAAAAGAAGCATGTTGAATATGGTGCCTAAAATTATTTACTCATACAACCCCTTATGTACTGCCTCTTAAAGTTCATTCAGAACGAACTTTGGGAGTCACTGAACTAATTTCTACAGTAATATTTTCTGATTATTATTATTTTTTTTAGATTTTCACCTTCCTAAGCTTAGGAGGCTCTTTTATAACCTTTTACTCACTGCTATTTCAAATAATACAATTTTAGTCCAAAATTATTTTTCATTCTAAATATTTCAACAAGGTCAGCAAACATTAAACAAAGTCTTTGAACAGATGAATAAATACTACATATTGCTAATAAGAGACTTAAGGTTATTTTAAAGGATTCTTAATGCAGTGAGATATTGACAAAAGGGAAGCATTTTACACAGACACACAATATTACCTCAGGAGTGAAGGTGAAGTTTTCGGATGCTTGCTTTAAGATCTCTACTGCCTCCGTATAAGAAATGCTGGAGGAAAACAAGGTAAAAGCAGAGAAAAGGTAACACAATGGACTGCTCTTAATTAGGCCATCTCAAAACTAGAAAAAGCCAATTCTCATATAGTCTCTGTGGTCATTAAGGTGTACTGAGGAATCAGGAATTAAAGGTGATCTAATCCTATGAAAGTCATATCTGCCTGACGAGAAGTGGCTGTTCAATAGCCCACTCCTGAGTGGCTTGCAGAGCACATGGAGGAGCTGGTTACGTTAGGAAACAGAATTTCTCTAAATCCATGCTATGCCAATGCCCTACTAAAACGTATGATATATTGATGCTAAAAGTGCAAAAGACTTTCCTAAAAGTTGTCATTCACTTGTTCATTTATTGACAACAAATGTGTATTTGATACTTACTAGATGTGAGGCATTCTTCTAGGAACTGGAGATACAGTAAACAAAAATAAAGCCCTTGCCTTTATGGATACATGTGTACCTTCAAGGAGTGTGTGAGAGTATATGTGTATGTATATGTGTGTGTGTGTGTGTGTGTGTGTGTGTGTGCATGCGTGCATGAGTGTGTATGTGTGTGGAGCAAGAAACAGACAAATAAACAGAAATAATATAGTGGCAGGTAGTCATTACTGAAAATACAGTGAGGTAAGAAGACAGAGGTGTTTGGGGGGGTGCTGTTCTGGATGATAAGACAGTTAAGAAAGGCCTCACTGAGTCAGTGACATTTGAACAGAAACCTGCATCAAGTGAAAAAATGAACTCTATAAATATCTGGGGAGAAGTATGCCAGGCAAAAGGAACAGCAAGTAAAAGAGCTTGAAGTGAGGAACAGCTTGGCTTGTTGAAAAAAAAAAAAAAAGGTCAGTGTGACTGAAGCACACTGCATAAGGGAAAGAAGGCCAGGAAATCAGATAGGAAAGTTAGCCAGAATTCAGATCATATGGACTTTAAGCCATGGTAAAGGGCTTGATAATGTACTCTAAGTGCTGCAAAAAGTATCACTGGTTTTCTCAATAAGAAACTCTCAGGTATAAAGTATGACAAATCAAGAATTTGTTTTAATTTAATTGTGCAACAGGTAATATATCCACATGGTTGGAAAAAATCAATATGCATAAAAGTATACGAGAATAGTGTACAGAGACATGTCTATAGTCCCAGTTACTCAGGAGGCTGAGGTGGAAGGATCTTTTCAGCCTAGGAACTAGAGACCAGCCTGGGCAAACCCTCAAAAAGGAAAAGGAAAAAAAAAAAAAAAAAAGGAGCGTACATCTTCCTTCTATCCCAGTCCGTCCATAGATACCCAGCTCCTCTCCTCTCACATACTCACTACTATTGGTTTCCTGTATATACATACATACATGTATATATAAATATAAAAAATGTATGTAAATATTAACCTTTTAGCAAATGTTACAATTCTACGTGTTATAGCTGCTCAGTACTTTACTTCTAAGATGACTGTTGTTTCAACAACATGAATTTTATCATTTGTCACTACAGTTATTTGAAGTTCCTAGACTCTAATCACACTGTTATATTTGCTATAGGTGCTTATGCCAGTTTGTTTGTTGTACTTGGTCTTGTAAGCAATGCAGAGATGACTGAAATTATACGGGAGGATGTGCTCAGGTTACATGCAGATACTATACCACTCTGTATGAAAGATTTGCACATCCATGGATTTCAGTATACAAGGGAGTCTGGGACGACTAAGTCTGAATTATAATAATACAGTTCATAATTACTATGATCATTTGTTTATTTTGCTATGATTTATTGGTTTATCAATAATACAGATTATCAACTACGAAACAGACACAAGAGCTAAAAAATGTAACAATTTTATATAAAAATAATTAGTACATGGGTTTTGTCCCAGATCTAGGGAGAATAACAAATATATAAAGAAAAATTATAATTCAATGTGATACACATGATGACAGAGTATGAGTAAAGTTCAGAGAAATAATAATATCTACTTACGTTAAGAAGTTGTTTTTAAGCATATGTTCTAATCTGTCCTTGGAAAGATAAAGAAAAAAATTTAATGTATTTATATCATTTTATGTAATTAACATATTTAAAGAGCAGATTTACCCACAAAACTAATTACCTTGTGTCCAGGAGCTATGAACTTGTGACAGAGTTCAACATCTTTGGGACAATTTGAGAGAACCATCATTGTTGTAGACTTGAAGAGTCCCTCCATAACCTAAGAGAAATGAAAGAATTTTCTGAGAAGTAAGCAACTTTTCACAAAAAAACATCTTCAGGGCTCTGAATGCTTCCCTCTATGGTTCAGTAACTATAAACCCATTAAGTCTGTTAATCCCTGAATAGGGAAGAAGAAAGAAGAAGGAAGAAAAAAGAAAGAAGGAAGAAGGAAGAAGAAAGAAGGAAGAAGGAAGAAGAAAGAAGACCTCAGAATCTTACATTAACAGTCCCATTACTGGTATTGAATTGGGATGTGAAATGAACTTCTATCCCTAAGAGAGCTGACTTTAGACTCAGGACAGACAGTAAAAGTATCTACTTGACAGGATTATTGTGAGAATTAAATGAGATAATCCATGAGTCAGATTTAGTTTAGTAAATGGCTTAGAGAAGCACATAAGTATTAGTTGTTATAAAGTAAAAACATTTTGAAAGTGATTCATTCAGTTACTTGTAACTGAAAGTAAACTTTAAAATGTGAGAACCAATGAGATATGTCTTAATATCAAACATATACATTTTTGTTTCCTAAAGCATAAAGAAAAAGAATATTCACTGTACTGGGGATGTCCATAGAAGACTCATGGGAGAATTTTTCCCTTACAATAAAGCAGTAACTGAAATGGAAAATATTTTGAAATCTTTTCAATTAAAACTAAACTTGTGGAGGGCCAAGTACACAGCTCAGTGGTGGAGCCCATGCTAAGCATCCAGGGACCCTGGGTGCGATCCCTGAACCAAAACAAAACAAAAATAAGTAAACCTAAAAACTGAAATTTATGGTTTAAAATCAGTTTGATCCCATTAAGTGCTTCACGTGTTGTACTCACAATGATCTACCCACTTATAAAGTACAGGCTGCCTCAGAAGGACAAAAGTTCTTTTCCTCTGCTACATCACTGGTGCACCCTATTCAGGCTGGAAACAGTGAGGGCCAACTGTCTACTCAAGTTAGGTTAATATGATCATATATATAGGAAAATCTTTAAACAAGTGACAACCAGATATATTTAATGCTTTAGTCTTTGTTAGTGGGATTTAGTACTAAGTTATAGTGAATTCCTAGTTAATTCTTTGTCTTCTTTTACTAGTCATTTATACTTCCAATCAACATGTATATCTAATATAGTGAAAAAAGTTGGTAAGCACATGAATTTCTAAAGCACTGATAATGTAAAACAGTAATGACAACTAATGTGGCAGGTTGAAAAACCAGTTAGAATCCAAAGATTAGACAATAATAAAAATATAAGTGGAATCTTTCTCTCTCTCTCAGAAAAGGTCTTGCTACATAGCCCAGGCTGACCTAGAAACTGCTTCAGCCTCTGGAGTACTGGGATTACAGGTGTGCACCAACCACTATGCCTGGGAAAGCAGAACTTTCTAAGGGCCTTGAAAAATGTTTAACTGTAAACTTAATGTAAAAAATGTAAGGTAAACTATTAAAATAACAGGAACAGAATTTTAAAATTATAAACCATGCCTGGCACCAGTGCCTCACACTTGTACTCCTAGCTATTCAGGAGGCACAGATCACGAGGATCACAGTTTGAAACCAGCCCAGGCAAATAGTTCTTGAGACCCTATCTCAAAACAAACAAACAAAAAACCCTTACAAAAAAGGGCTGGTAGAGTTGCTCAAGGTGGAGGCCCTGAGTTCAAGCCCTAGGACTGCCAAAAAAAGAAAGAAATTCTAAACCAGTAGAGGGAAAATAAAGTCAGATGAATCCGATGGAGAAGGGAATAACAATAAGGAATAACTTGATTAAAGAGGAACAATTAGAGGCTACAGATCCTTTACCCGTGAGCCTCTATCACCTTCCAGTACAGCAGTGAGTAAAGCTATTACTAAATAACTAAATGATTTATAAAGGGTAATAGCCTTCAACCACTAAGCAAAGCTGACACAAGTTGGGAGGGAGAAACAGCAATTGGGTTGGATGTAATGCCGGTGCTGCTGAGGGACACAATACACCTACATATAAGATAAAGACTTTGACCGCTATGGTTGTTAAGTCGGTATCTTTCATGAGCCGTAAATTTTGATTTGAAGATGAAAATCACTGACTTCCTTAACCTTAACTTTCAGGGTATGCTCTATAAATACACTGGAAGAAAACAGAAACTTAACTGAAGGGCTTGCATAACTCTAAGATGTTTTTAAAGTGTATTACTCATTGGTACTAAGAGAGTAATACTTTATTAGAACACTGACTTTATCAGTGTCAGTATCTTTGCTGTAGTATTATTATTTTGCCTGATCTTACTATTGGTAGAAGCTGAGTAAACAGAACATAATATCTCTGCTTGTTTACTTATTTACTTACTTATATATATTTTTTGAGACAGGGTCTCACTAAGTTGCCCAGGCTGACCTCAAACTTGCTGTATTGCCCAGACTGTCACTGAACTCATTACCTACCACCTCAGCTTCCCTAGTGCTGGGATCACAGGTATGAATCACCTGCTTGGTTCTCTATATCATTCTTTACAATTGCACATGAATCTAAAATAACCTAAATATGTAAATTTAACTAAAAAAAGATAAAAGCACAATTTGATGACGAAAGGCTGATCATTTCAACACGTTTCTGAGAACAGATATCCATGTATAAAGAAATGAACCTTAATATACCTCAGCACTTTACACAGAAGCTAACTTAAAATGGATCATATATCTAAAAATAGAACTTAAAGCAATAAAACCTTCAGAAGAAAACAGTAGAATATTATTGTGATCTTGAGTTTGGCAAAGTACTCTCAAATATAACATTAAAGGAGAAAACTGGTAAATTAATGCTTATTGAAATTAAAATCTTTTTCTCTGTGTATGAAACTGCTAAGAGACTGAAAAGACAAGTCACCAATTGGGGAGAAATATGTGCAAATTACAAATCTGAAAAAGGACTTTCATTTGAAAATAAAGAATTTTCAAAACAATAGGAAAGCAAAAAATTTCAACAAATGGAACAAACACCTGAGACTAAAGACCATAAAGGAATGGCTAGCAGGCACATGAAAAGATACTGAATCAACAGACATCAGGAAAATACAGGGTAAAGTCACAAAAGGACACTGATCACAGCAATAAACACACACATATACTCATGCTCACAGACACATCCTGGACAATGCTAAGTACTGGCAAAGGAATGGATATTTGTGGTGGGAATGCAAAATGGTACGATCACTTTGGAAAGCATACTGGTACTGTTTTATTTTACAAAACTAAAACACCAAACACTGACCTAGCAATCTCTCTCCTAGGAATTTACCCAAAGGGGAAATGAAAACTTTATGTTCACACAAAACCTGCACAATGAATGTATATAGCAACCTTGTTCATTATCTTAAACAACTAGAAATAAATTAAATGTCCTTCAACTGATGAATAGATAAACTGAGATACATCTGTATCATGAATACGATCAGCAGCAAAAAGAAGCAAACAAGTGATACACAGAATGTGGATGAATCTAAAATACATTATACTAAGTGACAGAAGACAAAGTGAAAAATGTGCATTCTATATTCTCAATTAATTTAGTAGTCTGGAAAGGGTAAGATTACTTACTGAGACAGTGGGAGGAGACAAAGTGGCAGCAAGAGGGAAACATTTTCCATTGACCATTCCATTCTATGACTTGATTGTACTTACAGTCACAGAGGTATAAACACTCTTCAAAATTGAGAATTTTTAATGTATGTAAATTTAAAAATAAATTAAGAAGAATAAGCTTAAACTATAGGTGTGCATCAGAACTGCTCCAGGCAGTCATTATGTACCTCTCAGGGAATGCCCGTGAAGCTACCTCTCTCCTATGTCCACCTCATCTAATGCCACTGGACAGATCATGACGCCTCTCTGGGGTCACCTGACTTTGTTTATTTGTCCCAGACTCATTTTTGAATACATCTAAAACAGCTCCAGCAAAGGCAGTGGAAGGTAATGCTCTGAATAAAATGACTCTGGCTATTCTGGTTCACAGTATTCCTGGAAATTAATCACTAAAGCTTAAAAACCTAGTCTAAAATTCTATCAGTTAAGGTATCTAGGAATAGCCACAAAAACAGAGAGCAAATGGGAGAAAAACAGAATGAAATAAAGAAAGGACTCATTTAAGTATTAGAATAGATGTGAATTGTTCCACTTACAATATGTACAATAGAGTAACAGAATTTCATGAACCTACCTGAGTGCAAAGCTAAAAATCTGGAATTGAATTCTGCTCACATGTACTCAAATATGTAGCTTAACCCGTTTATTTCTCAATGTTCTCACTACAAAAACTGAGGAAATAAAAGCTATTTTGCAACTCTGTCATGTTAAAATATAACTATACAGCAAAGATTTAAAATCTTCTAATAAACTCTAAAATAATATATGCATTATCTTCATAATCTTTCCTTTTGTATGTTGGGCAGTGGGGGAAGATGGAGTGGAGGCACAAATAGGGAGGTAAAAAGTATGGTTTTGTTTCTTACAATGCTCTCACTGCCTGAGGGAAGGAAAAATACAGAATTGGGGGGTAGGCTCAAATAAAAGCTGCTTAAGGAATGCACAAAGATGCCTTGTGAGGACAGACCCTGAGTACCTATAATCCAGAACAGGATTATTCCACAGAGGCACTTTTGACATTTTGGGCCCGATGATTCTTTCACGGTGAGAGGGGAAGAAATGTGATTTGTAGGATGTTGAACAGTATCCCCTGCCTTTACCCACTATAAAATGCCCATCCCTATCCAATTCCTGACAGGCACAAACAAAAATGTCCCTTGGTCCTACTGATCTAGAACAATCAATGGAAGGCATTAGGGGATGTGAGTGGATGCTATAGTATATGGCCAAATACCCTATCTGGGATTCTGGGAATGCTAACTGTTGATAGTTTAGATTTGAATTATCTGGCCCAAAGGCATTACCTACTCAAAGTTATGTCTCAGAGGCTAGTAATGTCCAAAGGTTGACTGATAAAGTACAAAAGCCCAATACCCTTGCTTTCATCTGAGACAAACAAAGAACCATTCCAGCTCCAAAGTTCTAGGCTAAAGCCTCTGTAAATGCATCACCATCCAACTTTTCCCTCTGCCCAATGCTACCTTCTTCCTTTCCTTATAGGTATTGTTCTCAAGAGCGTTCCCTTAGTTAACACACCTGCCAACAAATCTCTGGCTTAGAGTTTAGTTATTAGAAAATCCAACCAAAGACAGGTAAATAAAATAGTGAGTCTATTCTATTTGTGGTATATATGATATTTATGCTTTAAATGGAATTGTTTCATTTGAGTGAATGAGTAGAAAGATATATCAATGAGTAGAAAGGAGAACTGATAGAAATATAAAGTAAACATCCCATAAGTACAAGTCCAAACTAAGATAGCAACCAAAATGTCATTGGACAGGGAATTCAAAATAGTAACAATTATTTCTGGGTAATTATCAGGTGCCATGAACTATGCCAAGTGTTTATATGTATAAAATGAGCCTAATCCTCTCAATTACCCTCCAAAGCAGGAAATATTATTTTTATCTTATACATGAGGAAATTGAGGCCCAAAGAAATTAAATTCTTTGCCTAAGGATACCTAGAAAGCAAGTGGTAGCACAAAAACACAAATCCTGGCACATTCATGTCCAGGGCTGTGTTCTACCTGGCTTCTGTCCACAACTACAGTAAAGCCTCCTGCTGCCCTATTTTTATTTCCCTCAAAATCATTCTTCCTATTACTGCTAACGAAATGTTTCTAAGACACAAGTCTGACTATACCTCTTCCAACTTAGAGCTATTTCTCTGTTATCTTTTGAATACAGTTCAAACTCTTTAGCATGCTCTTTACATACAGGGTCTTTCATGACTCCTGACTATCTCTCCAGTTTTATGGCTTGCCCCTCCAACTGAATCTGGATAGCTCCTATAGATGCTTTTGAAAACAGGTCTACTGGTACTTGTAAAATTATTATAGATGTTTATACATGTAGAAGATGTTCCATTTATTTTTTTATCAAATCAGAGCTACTATGAGCCTGCTTATCTTCCATATGTATGATATACATGACTTCATTTTCTCCTCACAATAACCTTGTACAATAAGTGCAATTCTTTTAGAGCTGAGGGAGCTAAATAAAGATCACGAAGGTTAGGTGTCTTCATAGCAGAGCTAATGGCAGAGCTGGGATATGAATTTAACTTAACTCTTATCTGCTCAACTATGACACTAAAGGCAGCCTATAAATATTTATTAAACAGTTCTCTTATCTTCTTCATTCTTTACATACCTATAATGCGTAGATGTCTGGGAAGATGCATTTTGGTGTCACAGATACCTGGAAATTTAAAATCATGTACCTACCTGCATGAGATCTTGAAGGCTCTCAACAAAAGAAATCTCTGCTTCTACCATATAAAACTCTGCTAGGTGTCTTCGGCTCTGAGAGTTCTCAGCTCGGAATGTAGGACCAAAGGTAAACACCCGAGTAAAAGCTCTGAAATTCAAGATTTAAGAGTATGAAAACAGAATTCACATAATTAATTTATTTAAAATACTCAGTGAGGTCTTAAGAAAAACAGTTTTGTGTCTCTGTCATGTTCACAAACCCACACATATTAGCTGCTCTATTTCTCTAATGGATGACAATAATAGTTTCATTAAAAATGCTACATTTATAGAAACCATTTTATCTGAAAGGAATCTGCAACTGCTTCTCAAACCCTATGGTTTTCTAAATATAGAAATATAACCACTTCTGGGTGTACTCTACTGCAGCTGCCTTAAACAGCAGGCAACTACATTTCACAGCAATCAAGAACAAAGAAACAAAAATGCCACAGCTTAAGAAACCACATAAACAATCAAGTTAGTAACAGGGAAAATCAGAATTTCACGTGGATAAGGTATGCTCACTTATTTTTTTAAATACATGAAAGAACATAGTTGGATATGTATAGCAATTTACCTTATTCCAAGCCAATTCAAGTCCTTCACAACCTCCTCCATTTCAATCAATGTGGAATTACCTCTGAAATTTGGGAGTTAAGACAGATTTTAAGGAACTGTCTAGCTCTGGATTTCACAAAGGACTAGAGTTTAATTATCCAAATGGGGGAGAAGAACCCCTTATTTTTAAGTATCTACAAAGTAGTAGATACCACATCTTAATTTACTATGATAGTCTCCCCCATATTCAGACAGGACAAAAATCTGAGATTAGATCAAGCATGTATGAAGCAATAAATATTTCTTGAGGAGTTAATCTTAAATTTTGTTTTTATAAGAACAAAGTTAGCAGTATGGGGCTTGTCAGCTGTGCTCCTGAAGACTCTTCATCTGTCTGTCTTTAGTCAAGTGGCATTAACATCACTACACATGGCTGAGTGGTGGTGCACACCTTGTAATCCCAGCTTTTGGGAGGCTAATGCAGGATCATCATAAATTAGGAGCCAGCCTGGGCTATGTAGTGAGACTCTATCACAAACAAATAAACGAGTAAATAATGCAGGGAAACTTAAAATATACCAGCTTTGTTTTTTAAAGTGAAGCTACTCTGGGAAAAAAGAATAATTAAATAGATACCAACAGATTCAGGTTTTCTTTCAAAAGGCCATTTCAGTTGGTAAGATGCTTAGGAATTTATATTTTGGTTCTACAGCCACCATCCTCAGACCATAATCAGTTAACCTTTGAGAACCTTAGCTTTTTAATGAGAAGATAAACAGTAGAAAAATATTATATTATTAAAGTTACCATTGTCCCAAGATTCAGATTCAGACATGCCTACTGGAATGTTCCTGAAAAAGACTAAACCTACCCTGTGCAAAATGAAAATTCTTGCCTCCATCCCAAACACAAAATCATGACCAATCCTACATTTCTCTTTACATTTCCCCAGGCTCTGTTAATCTCAGTTAATCCAAGATTCAAACCAGACGTCACCACCCCCACTGCCACATATCCCCGTTACCAAACTGGTTACAAAATTCAATCGTACACACTTTGGAAAACTCTCTCAAGTCTAGTGTCTTTTATCCCCACAGTGGTTGTCCCTATAAATCTTGTCTTTTGTTTGGAAAATAAATTTTTGTTTTGTTTTGTTTTTGGAGAGAGAGTCTTGCTATGTAGCCTAGGGTGGCCTGGAACTTGAGATCTTCCTGCCTTAGCTGCCAGAATGCTGGGATTACAGGTGTGTGCCACCATGTTGGCAAGTAGCAGCTTTTGACTAGTGTCTGCTATCTGTTCTTCCTCTGGCCTCAAGCTAGTCTGAGTTCTGAATCTCAAATCTGATTATGTTGGCCCTAATTTAAAAATCTTCAATGATTCCTCATTGCCAAAAGGAGAAAATTCAAATTCCTAATTTCAATTTGGGTTTCCCTCACACAGTTTTTTCCCCTCCAGTTACTCTGAAGACATTCTTCCTATCTAGCATGCCCCTGCATCATTAGGTCTCTGCATAGGCTATTCCCTACCCCATAATGCTCCATCCCTTGCTCCTCTCTAGTCCAAGTTCCCACAGAACCTTCAAGGCTTAGCTCAAATGTCCTTTCCCCTTTGAAAGCTTGCCCCCACATTTATTACTCCCTCTTGTATATTACTGTAATACTTTGTTCATGTATTTATTATATAAAGCATGTTACCTTGAAATGTAATTATGTTTTAAAATATCTTCCTCAAGAAACTATGAAATTTTCCAGAACAGGAATCATGTTTTATTCATGTCTACTTCTCCAGTGCCTAGATAAAACAGGTGCTCATGCTGAAATGAATGAGTACTAATGATGATGACAGGCTTCCTCAGCATCAACGGGAAAAGCATGACATCCTCAAAGAGCAACGTTACAAATATAGAAAAATACTCAGATACATCTCACTGCGGCTGTTACTCAGTACCTAAAATGGGTACCTAAAATGGAACAAAAAATTCAGACCTGTCCCAACAATAAATTCCAAAGTTACAAGGCTCCAAGTTTCCAAACTGTGACTAGGCCATCTTTAGGTAGGCTGGCAACAGTATATCTAAATACTAACAATGACATTTCTTTCCAGCAGTACATCACAAGAACAGAGTATTTACAAACATTAACAACACTGAAGTGTATCTTGCTGAAATTTTCCAGTGGATAGATACATAGGTGGCATAGCTGAAATTTACTTTGGAGGCTCTGAAATAAAGGGAGGCTAATAGGGTTGCTACTGAAAAAGAGACATGCTATTTGTATTAAGGCACTAGGTACAAAGAACGTAGTGGTTTCTAACCAGAACTCCAAATTCAAATTTACAAGGGCATTTGCATTTCACAAGGTAACATGCTCTAGAATGAGGAGCGATCGGGATTTTTAAATTTTAATAATGGTTTTCTCTGGATATGCTGCTCAAGTTCTCCAGCATAAAATGTAGAAGAGGGCCAGTACTTAAAGAAAAATGATATAGTGAAGAGCAGATTCTGATTGAGGTACTCAAGAACTAAGTAAGAGAATAAGAACTGATTACCATGGTGTTGCCTCTGAATTAACAGAAAGACAAAAGGAGATGAAGGTGTGTAGAAAATACGCAGTTTTAAGCAGAGGGAATGCAGACCATTCAATAACTGACTACCCTACATCAGGGCCGGGTATTCTATTACAGAGTAGCAACAGCAGCATAAGAAATGACAATGGTGGCTACCATTAAGCAGTGGTCCTCGTGGTCAGGCATTAAATACAGATATCTTACAGGTGACTTAATAATGCACTACTACTACTATTACTTCTACTTTCTAGACTAAGAAGATGAGTCACACAGGTTAAGAAGCTTTCCCAAAATAAAAGAGTGATAGTTTGCTAAGTGGTAGAGGTCAGATTCAAATCCAGATCTATACTAATACAGCTTTGGTCATGATACTAACAAAAATTATGCTCAAAACTAAACATTTATATACTTAGAAAATTAGAGGGAAAAAATCCATAGTATACTCTCCTTTCTCAAAGTAACTAAGGTAAGTAGTTTGGTATTTTATTTTTCTTATGAATAATAGCTTGTTAAAAATCATAGCTCTGGAGGATATGTTATCTTTTTGGAAATAACTATATTTATATTATTAGCTATTTTTATAACTTTTAGCAAGTCATTTAACCTTCCTGGTCTTTAAATTCTTACAGAGGTGGGGGAACAGGGAGGCTTGGCATTAATATCTAGTATTTCTTGCAACAATTTTGTTCCAGATTCATATGAAATCACTCCTATTTCACTTTATTCTGATTTCTTCTTTTTTCCATCTTTCACAAACATGAAAGCCATTTGCAGAAAGGCTTTAAATCAACATTTAAAATAAAATTTGAAAACAAGGCCATTTCTAAAATAAGATACAAAATCAGGTGAAAGGACTTGCTGTGAGAAGACACCAGCAGAAAACATCTGGCACCAGAAACCACTCTTGTGCCAAATTGTGGAGAGAGGAAAGCTATATAAGGAAAGTCCAAGAGCTTGGACTAGATGTTTAAGATAACAAAAGTACATTTAATATGTATCAATCAAGATAACTACGAAAATGGCTTTTTGAAAAATAAAATCACAAAATGGTTCTACAAAAGGTCACTTTCTCCCTGGTGTGGAGTTTTATGAAGCCATAAAGTTGGTAAATGGATTAATCTAAAATGGTCACTGATTGCCTGGCCATTTATTCTTTCTGGACCTGCCATTTAAGAGCTAAGCTTTATACTCTCTCTTCAACAAAATTAGAGATAATGGCAAAATAGTTTCTGCCTGGTAGCGAGGAGGTGTGGGGGGGAAGAGGGAGGTGGCGGGGGAAAGGGGGAGAGAAATGATGCAAACATTGTATGCACATATGAATAAAAGAAATTTAAAAAATGCTATGTAAATAATCTTACAACCACCATTAAGGTTATTATCCTACCATTTGCATAAGGGTATCTATTTGCTGATAAGAGTGTTCTCAAAGATCTTACCCCAAAAAGAAAAACTAGGAATTAAACCCAGTCTTATATAAATATAAAGCCTTTTTTATCAACATATGACTTGTCTTCATTTAAAGAAAAATTTTATCCAATTAAACCTGTTTTTCTTCTCCCTCTGTATGTCAATTAAACATAAATATCTGTTATGTTTTGACTATGAAATGCTCCCTCCGCCCAAAAAAGAGCTAAGCTTCATGTTTTGAAAGAACAGAGACATTGCTACTCCTCAGCTTGAGAAGAACTTGCTCAGCACACAACTGATCAGCAACTTTCTCCACAGCCTCCCCCACTGCCAACCTCTGTGTCACTTCTCTACTGCCAGTTCAGCAAAAGTTCAGCTGAACTGAATTCACAGACAGTCTTAAACTGGCCTTTAAAATAGTCATTGCCCAGTGGTTTTCCCATCATTTAGGAATTGATCATCTATTTTATTACTGTTTTATGTCCACTGGGTTACCAATACTACAATATATTTGTCATTCTTTATTTCTACATGCCTTAGAGTGGACTCCAGGCACCTCCCTTTCAGCTTTCCTCTATTCCAAAGCTGTCATGCATACATCTGGTGGAAGTTATAAAATGTAGAATTCAGGGGGCTAGAGGTGTGGCTCAAGTGGTAGAATGCCTACCTAGCATGCACATGTCCTTAGTTTTTTTGTTTGCAACTGAATTTAAGGTCCAAGCAAAAGTGAATCTTCACAGGGTAAAAACCAGTTTTCATAGAGTAACAATAATTCTGCTAAAGGGGCTGGAGTGTTGGCTACCCCTCTGAGGTGAACTGAAATGGGCACTCCAGTAAGGGGAACACCAAACCCCTTGGTTCTGAGATAGATAAGAGTCTGCCATGAATAAAGAACCAAGAGTAGGGCAGTATAGGATAAGTGGTAAGGGATGAGGGAGAAGGCATCAGAGTATATGGATTTCATTGGATACTCCTTGAAATGCTCCATTCTCTTAAAACAGTTAACCCTGCATTCTCTTAGTTTTCTTCCAATTCCTCTGACCTCAGGCTCTGCCTCCTTTTACACGGTACTTACTCTAGCTGTTTATTAAATTCTGATATTCTTTAAAACTATTCTAAACTTTCATTTTCTATTATATACTCAGTCCCTAAAAGACCTACCTCAGCCAAGAAGTTCTATTAACTAGCTATTAGCATACAATTCACAATTTATACTCTTCCCAGACCTTTCTTTTTTTATTGAAAAAAAAATCTTTCATTCATATGTGCATACAATATTTGAGTCATTTCTCCCCCCTTCCTCCTACCCCCTTCCTTTCCCCCATCCTCTTTCTAAGCTCCAGATCCACA